GGGAAACTAAAATACTGTCCATAATTAGGAGATAATAAAGGTAAGAATAGAGACAGTAAAAATGCAACAGCGTTCTTACTCTCTCCTCTGGTACATAGCTTGCAAGCCCCTGGGCCTGAGGGAGATAAACAAGAGCCAGAAAAGTGTCAGAGACAGGATAGCACCAAACTGAGGCTCTCTCCCCCTGGGAAACAGAAGGACTGGAAGCAAACACAGGGAATAGCCTGAGTCACTGTGTCTTCCAGAGTTAGTGCCCAGGGGCTTCCCTGGTAGCGCAGTGGTTAAGAATCCGCCTGCCAATGCAGGGGACACGGGTTCGAGACCTGGTCCGGGAAGATCCCACATGCCGCAGAGCAACTAAGGCTGTGCGCCACAACTACTGAGCCCACGTGCCACAGCTACTGAAGCCTGCGCACCTAGAGCCCGTGCTCCGCAACGAGAAGCCACCGCAATGAGAAGCCCGCACACCGCAACGAAGAGTAGCCCCTGCTAGCCGCAACTAGAGAAAGCCCGCACGCAGCAACGAAGACCCAGCACAGCCAAAAATAAATAAAAATAAAATAAATAAATGTATTAAAAAAAACAAGAAACAAAGTTAGTGCTCAGGCCACAAAATCGCCCACTCTCTGTGCTGCATTCGGAAGCCAAAGGTGGTCAGGTGAAAGAGCTTAGGAAACAGTCCGGCACAAAGGAATGCAGGGGTCTGGCCTAATCAGCTTGCTTCCCAGCAGCAAATGATCACTTTTTCGGGACGACCCTCCCTGGCTTCTTACTGAAATCTCCACGTTGGCCAGGGCGAGCGTTTCCTCTCCAAGAGCTAGTGGGAGCCGTCTGAGAGTGGAGTAGACGGGCTGTGGGCCGTTCAGGACCCCCAAGCTGGATCCTGATGTTGGAATCACTCCCCAGCCAAACGCAGTTTGGAACGAGTTCCTCCATGAGAATTCCACATTAGAGCGAGGCAGCTCTTTGGGTGGGAATACCTGAGGAAGGGGCTGTCCCACTCAGCAGGCCAGCAGGCCTGACTTGCCCCAAGGGGCAGACCAGAGGAAAACACTCTGCAGATCAGGGCCTGCTTTCAGACTTCTGCCAGAGGCATACGAGACTATTACTCGAAGGAGGCGTGTGTGTTTTCCTGCTCTCTCCCACCCCTGAGAAAAGGCTGCTGGTTCCCTTCACCCTTCAGACATCCGGCACCAAGGCCACCCCAGTGGGCATCAGCAATGCAGGCGGGTCCTCTGGGGGTGCCCTGAGATCTTGGCGGGGCAGAAGAAATGGAGGCGAGGCTCAGCCTGCTCACTCAGAGGTTCCCACCCAAGCCAGGTCTTGAGAGGAAAATGAATTATCTATACAGTCATTCAATCGTCCACTAAGTGGCATTCCCTGGGACCCATCATCACGTACAAAGGCCTCCATGAGGCGCAGGGATCCTCGCCATTAACAAATGTGGGTGCTGTCCTTAGGGAACTGGAGATCTAACCCAGTCAGACCCAGATGCAAAGAGCTCTGACACTGGAGAGAATGAGGTTGAAGAATACGATTCAGCCACTCTTACAACGCATATGAGGATCTACCATCACAAGTATGGTAAAGGATTAGAAAGAGAAAGAGGGCAGAAAGAGGGCAGAAGATGTGTGAGGACATGGACCAGGGTGTCCTGATGTCTGAGAAAGTCAGAGAGGGCTTCCCACAAGAAGTAGCCGTTTGGTCTCCTCTTCCACCAGGAGGAGACGGGCAGGGGCGCAAGAGGGAGCAGCATGGTAGCTGGGGGCCCCGAAGTGGTAGGCACAGGGCTCCTCGGAGGAATGGAAAAAGGGGGGCAGAGGCCCAAGAGGAAGTGGCCAGCTGGGCCAGATGGGTCAGGCCTTGTAGCCTTTTGTGAGGGTTTCAGAATTTAGCCAGAGGGCAGTGGGAGTGTTTTTAGCATTTTAAGCCTAGGAGAGATACGGGCATATTTGCATTTTGAGAAATCACTCTAGGAGGATGGCTGGGATGGTTGGTTGGGAAGTCGGTGGGAGTAGAAGCAAGGAGGCCAGGTAGGAAGCTAAGACAAATGTTTGATGGTATAAAGTACCATGAATGTGCCGTTTGGCTGGGGTGCACCAAGCATAAATGTGGGGTATGGGGTCAAAAGGTAGAACATTATGTTGGATGGCTCCATTTACTGAAATGCCTAGATTAGCAGCTCTGTAGAGACAGACCTGCCCGGGGGCTCGGGGTGATGGGAGGTGGGTAGGAGGGGCTAAATGGTAAGAGGGTTCTTTTGGAATGATGAAACGTTCTGAAATCGATTGTGGCAATGGTTACACCACTTTGTGAATGTATTATAAACCACTTCATTGTGCAATTTAAATAGGTGAATTATATTTCAATAAAACTGTTTAAAAAGAAAAGAAAAGGAAGGTTGAGGTTTGGTCCCAGAGGGCTCAAACGCCAGGCTGAGGACAGGAAACACATCTGTGGTAGTTACAGCAGCCTCTGGGGCAATAGCTGGATGGTGGAGCTGAGGCCCCTCTAATGCCCCTTCTCCTGTCTAGGGTGGACTCCCTGCCATCAGCCCCTGGTGCAGAGCAGCGTGGCACCCTGTCTCCCAGCCTGAGGTGCAGTGCTGCATCTCTGGTCAGTTGGGAGTCTGAGATGAAGCACTGTAGCTCGGGAAGGGAGAAGTTGTTCTGCGGCCGTTGCCTGGACGTGGTAAGTGGTAGTGGTGCTTGCGGGCACCAGGAAGGACGGGAATGTTTCCACTCTCCGTATGGTCAGCTGAGGAAGTTGCTGGACTCAAGTCCTACCTGTGCCACTATCTGCTTCATGATTCTGGGCAAGGCCTGAATCTTCTGTGCACCCCAGTTTGTCCATCTGTAAAGTGAGGTGTTGGAGCACTCAGTGGTGGCCATTACCCAGCACCCTGACTCTGCTTTCGCTTTCTGAGCCCATGACAGACACTGCTAATCAGTCGAGGCATCCTTTCTTTTTCCTTTTTTCCTTTTCTTTTGTAATTTTGTAAAACTTTTTATCTTATATTGGAGTATAGCTGATTAATAATGTTGTGATAGTTTCAGGTGTACAGCAAAGTGATTCAGTTATACACATACATGTACCTATTCTTTTTCAAATTCTTTTCCCATTTAGGTTGTTACATAATATTGAGCAGAGTTCCCTGTGTTATACAGTAAGTCTTTGTTGGTTATCCATTTTAAATACAGAAGTGTGTACATGTCAATCCCAAACTCCCTAACTATCCCTTCCCCCAACTCTAAGGCATCCTTTCTTGAAGCATTCAGGTACAGCTTCAGAATCCTTCTCAGCACTAAGTTCTGGAGAGCTACTGTTTATGATTCGAAGCTGAAACCCTTCATCATTTGTGAACTGGACAATTCCTAAAAACGCTTTCAGCCTTAAAGACAAAAGTCCTGGGCTTTGAGTCAGGCTCTTCACTCTTTGAGGTGTTGCCTAAGTTAGTCCAGGCATCTCCCAAATATCTGACCCCTCTCAGTGGCTTCAGACAAGCAAGAAACAGCAGAGGAAAATCACTGGGCTAAGCACAATTTTATTTAACCTCCCAACAAGCTTGGGAGGTAAATGTTATTAACCCATTTTCCAGATAAGAAAACCAAGGCTCAGTTAAGCAACTGGCCCAAGGTCACACACTGACTATGTTGAGCTGGGCTTGTAACCTAATCTGTCTGCCTTCAGATCCATGTTCTTACCCACTGCATGTGGTCTTGTCCTTACATCTTGGGTCACTTTTAGCAAAGACAGACCAAGACGTTTTCCATTAATCCTGTAGATTTCCTTCCTCTTCTCCTCCCCGCCCCCAGCCACCATAGTTGTATTTATCTCACCTTATCCAGTAGGTCCTATACCATAGCATTTTACAGTTGGGGAAGGCTGAGGTTAAGTGATTTGCTGAGGGTCACCAACAAAGAAGTTGCCAAACAGAGACTGGGAACTGGATCCGCCCAGTTGGTTTAGAGTAAAACCCTCCCTCTGGCTGGAGACTAAGGAATACACATGATCCATGGCAGTCGAAGGGGGGAGTGGGGTGTTACCAGATGGTTTCTGGTTGACAACATGGCCTTTGACTACAGGGAAGGTACTTTCCGGGGCAACTGAAGTTCCAGTCACTACTCTCCCCCTGGAGCAATCATCCACATCCCGCGAGACACAGCAGCCGCCCTGGCTTCTGCAGATGGGGCCGGATGCAGAAGAAAACGCCAGCTGGTCCTTAGGGACATGCCAGAGCCTTGGTGCTGAAGGCCACTCTCTCACCTTGTCCTCACGGTCCAGTTTTCCCAGGAATCCCTTAGATGCTAAGATGGGGATTCCTGGAAATACTGTTCTTGAGGTCATGGTTTAACAGCTGGATGCGTCTCCTTCCCACCCAGAGTTGCCCCTGCAGGGCTTGGGCTCAAGCACGTCATGAGGTCAAGTGGAAGGCCATGCACTAGAGGTAAGAGGGCTTGAGAACTGTGTTCTTGACCTTTAAGTTGCTTTTCTTTCCATTTTGTCCATTTCGTAACATCCTGTGAGGCTGGAATGGGAACTTCACCACTGTCCTGCTCTTGGGAACTTTGTCCAGGCACTCAGTTGAGCAGTAGTTGAACCAGGACACCATAAAGCATGTGTTTCTTTCTGCCTCAACCGCACCCCCACCCCACTTCCCCGCGTGCCAAGCAATAGGGGTCGCACTATCGAATCAGCATTATTGATAAATGAATAAATGTACGTGAATTTATTTTAAAAGTTTGCTAAATCAGTTAGCTAAACTAAAAACAAAAAAAACTATTAAGTTTTAGTTCGATTTGTAATGCAGCCACAGAAAAATTTTTAAATTTTTCATTAAGGTAGAGAAGACAAAAAAGCTCAGAGTGCCCTCTTGTGGTGATGCCTCTCTCAACCTGCTTCAGGAACACTGAGGCTCGCCTCTACACACACACACACACACACACACACACACACACACACACACACACAGATGCCTTTTGCCAATGACCATCACTTACAATCTACTTTAACTCGCATCACCTTCGTCTCAAAGCTCCTGAGGTTCAGAGAGGTCAAGTGACCAGCCCACAGTCACTCACATAGCATAAGGCAGAGCCAGGATTGATTCCAAGTTCAGTGGCTTGTGGCAATTCCTCAGCCAAAAGTAAAAACTGCAAAAATAAAAAATAAAAGTAAGACAATCTGAATAGACAGAGAAAATGCTAGCTGACTGAATCCCAGAGACCTGAAGTGGTCCAGGTGCAACACTAGAACTTTTCACAAACTCTTCCTAGTGCTTTTCATGGAGTTGGTAGAGACAGGAGGTGTCGTGGCCCCAGGAGCCTCGCTTTGGGGTCTGCTTGCCGTGCTCCCAGGGACCAGGTGGCTCCCACACGTCTCAGGCTGTCTCTCTAACAGGCCACATTGAAGACATTTATAAAATATGAGATCTCCCTCCCCCTTATCCTCAGAGACTGGAGCTGGACTGACCATGAAGAAATCTGATTTGCTCCTAATGATAATAATAGCTTCCTCTCACGAATATTTACAACTTACCGGGCCCTGTGCTAAATGCTTTCACAGGCACTGTCTCATTCAATCCTCACAACAACCCAATGAGGTAGGTTGTATCACATACTCCGTTTCACAGATGAGGCAGCCAAGGCACAGAGAGGTTAAGACACTTGCCTAAGATCACACAGCTAACAAGTTGTGAGGCTGAGTCAAATCAAGTCTGTGTTTATGCTTACCACCTGCCCTTGCCCCCTCTCTCCCTTTTGGCCTGGCCTGGCAGGTGGGGCTACCTCCCGTGGCTTCCCCTGGGGGAGAAGGTAAAACAAGCCTTCAGTGAGACCCAAGCAGTCCCTCCTGTGCTCTGTGACTATAATAAAATGCTGGACCCTTGGCTTGTGTCCTGTGTCTTCCTGGGAACATGAGGGGAGGCGGAAGGAGGTGACAGCAGGGAGAGAACATAAGCCTGTATTAGTTTACTAGGGCAGCTGTAACAAAGTACCACAGACTGAGTGGCTTAAACAATAGAATGTTATTTTATCATAGTTCTAGAGGCTGGAGGTCTAAGATCAAGGTGTCAGCAGGGTTGGTTTCTTCTGAGGCCATTCTCTTTGTTTTGTAGATGGCTGTGTTCTCCCTGTGTCTTCACTCTGTACATGTCAGTGTCTTAATCTCTTCTTATAAGGACACAAGTCCTATTGGTTAAATTAAAGCCCATGCATATGACCTCATTTAACATTAATTATCTCTTTAAAGACCCTACCTCCAAATACAGTCACAGTCTGAGGTACTGGGGGTTAAGACTTCATCATGAATTTGGGGGGGACACAATTCAGCCCATAATACAGCCTCAGTTGAGGCAACCCTCAACTGAAGGCAGGTGCCTTCACACTGCCAGACACTTCCAGAAGCTGGCTAGATAGCAACCAGGACCCACATCAAGACAGTCAGAAGCCCAAGGAAGATGCCAGGCCGTGTCTGGGAACACCTGCTGTAGAGCGTGGGGAGGGAGAGAGTCCCACGAGGTGAGGTCCCCTAGGGCGGGACCAAGGCACATGCTGAGGAGCGCTCAGGGCCTGGCTACGCGGCAGCCTCGCCCCTTCAGTCCTAAAGGTGTGACTGACCAGGTCGAGGAGGCAAGACAGAGTCTGAAATCACACTTCACACAGGCGTCAGTCTTCAGAGTGAACTCGACATTAGCTGTACCACAGGCATCATGCCCAACACATGGGGACATTTTAATTTCTTTTTTTTTTTTTTTTTTTTTGCGGTATGCGGGCCTCTCACCGCTGCGGCCTCTCCCGTTGCGGAACACAGGCTCCGGACGCGCAGGCCCAGCGGCCTTGGCTCACCGGCCCAGCCGCTCTGTGGCATGTGGGATCTTCCCGGACCAGGGCACGAACCCGTGTCCCCTGCATCGGCAGGACGACAGACTCTGAACCACTGCGCCACCGGGGAAGCCCCACATGGGGACATTTTAAACACAATTAGTCTACCTTCGGCACAATCCTCCAACTCTGCTACATTCTGAGGGGGAAAAAAAATCAACATCCTGACAAACAACCTTTTACGATTCCCAGAGCCTAAGGCCTCCCCACACCTCTCCTTTGCGCCCCCAAACAAGGCCTGCGCACCTGCCCTGCACTGTGGAGGAGCCCAAGGTCCCACAAGGGCCCGAGACTGCTTAGGAGCCACAGGGACGAGTGCAAGAGGCAGGATGGAGGGTGAGCTCCTCTGGCCAGCGCCCTGCCGTCCACTGCACCCCACGCCCCAATGACACACCCCGTTCTTGTTCAGCTTTGGAACAGTTCCCGGCCAGACACTGGGGCCTCCTCGAAACTCACAGGCCTTGTGCTACTGAGGTCCTTCTAGAACTCTCCCTCACACCCCTGGGGAATTATTGCGGACTCCCACAGGTGGGTTCGACACTGTGGTTTGAGATTCCCAGGAGTGGAGGGGTGCACAGGAATAACAGCAAATGTCCAGCAAAGGGGGTGTCCTTTTTTTTTTTTTTTTTTTTGCGGTATGCGGGCCTCTCATTGCTGTGGACTCTCCCGTTGCGGAGCACAGTCTCCGGACGCGCAGGCCCAGCGGCCATGGCTCACGGGCCTAGCCGCTCTGCGGCATGTGGGATCCTCCCGGACCAGGGCACGAACCCGAGTCCCCTGCATCGGCAGGCGGACTCTCAACCACTAACGCCACCAGCGAAGCCCCGGGGGTGTCCTCTTTATTTACCTCTGCCAGCCTTTACTGGGTGCCTGTGTGCACCTGGTGCTGGGGACACGGCAGTGAACGAGACAACCAGAGAACTCTACCTTGTGAGGATGATTCGCTCACACACACGTAGGTGTGAGATCCTGCACTCCTCTTCCAGAATTTCAGTGTTGAGACCGTTTCTGAACACAGCTGTAAAGTAGTAACACTTTCAAATACATCCCTACATGCCAGGCATGCCGTGGGCCTCTGTCCTGTGGGCAGAAGGAATTGGCACCCCCTGACAACTCTGGTGACAGATCCCCAGGTCGAAGCCCAGGCTCTTCCAGCAGTGACCGTCTGCACTTCCTTTTACTGACAGAGCGTCCTGCACCAGGTGCCTCCTGTGGGAGTGTCCAAGGAGGCAGCGTGACGCAGACAGGAAGGAGGTGGTGCCCTCTTGTGGCCTAACCTGGAAGGACAGGCTATCTTGAAGGACTTGTCAGGGGTAAGGGGGGATTGTTATCAGTGCCCATTATCTAACACATTTGCATAGGATTTTGCATCTCAAAATGCAATTTTCATCCCATGACTTCATTTGATCCTTGGGTTTTTTAAATTAATTAATCTATTTATTTATTTTTAGTTGCCTTTTGTCTTCGTTGCTGTGCGCGGGCTCTCTCCAGTTGCGACGAGCGGGGGCCACTCCTCTCTGTGGTGTGCGGGCCTCTCTTGCTGCGGAGCACGATCTCCAGGTGCGCGGGCTTCAGCAGTTGTGGCACACGGGCCTAGCTGCTCCAGGGGATGTGGGATCCTCCCGGACCAGGGCTCGAACCCGTGTCCCCTGTATCGGCAGGCGGACTCTTTACCACTGAGCCACCAGGGAAGTCCTTGATCCTTGTTTTGAGATACATCTTGTCATCGTAGTTTTACAGAAACCCAGTGAGGTTTAAACAATACTAATTCAAATTCTAATAATAATAACACCTATGATTTATTGATCCCTTACTCTGTGGCTGGCACTGTGAATTTATTTTGTACATATTATCTCATTCGTGAGATTCAGATAGAGAACAAAGTATTAGACACGTGTCCAGGGCCCCAAGACTGCTAAGCAGCTACATGAGGAAGGAAGCACCAGCCCCGCACTCAGGCCAACAATCTCTCCCACGAGCTTGAAAAGAGAAGTGTCCGATCTGGTCCTCCAGCCCCTGGAAGATTCCCAGTTGCCTTGGGCTGGGAAGAAGTCCTGGGAGACTTCATCCAGCAGGATTGACGCTGCTACAGATCCCAACATGCTGGAGATACCATCTCCTGCTTCCAGGTGTGCTCTGAGGGAACTGGCACCCTTGGATCAGTAGAGAGATTCTATTTCCTGCTTCAAGGGGAGAATTTCCCCAGGCTCCTGAGAGCTGCCTCTCTCAAAGCGGACAGCAGCAAGGGCACCCCAATATTGCTACAGGATGTGGTCCAATGATCCAGACAAAGGAGGTGAAAGGGCCTGCTGTGATCCTGAAAGAAAGAGGGAGCTAGAGGGAGGCCGGGAGGAAGACAGTCTGGCCTGTGGGGGATTGCACATCTCCAGCAGTCCGGCGGGCCTGGCCAGCAGTCTGTGCAAGCCAATCTCATTGCTGTAAAAGGGCAGTGGCCAGAAGAGGGGACTCAGGCCTGTCCCTGCATTTCAGACCTAGGCAGCCCCTCTCCAGGTCATGGAAGCAGGCAAAGTGGAAACCAACCAAGCAGGGATGGAATAGGTCCAGATTTGCTCCTTTTTCTTGAAATATGGGGATGGAACCCAAGTGGCCTCAGTCTGGGGACAGTCAGGGGCATGTCAGTTGCACTCCAATCTGTGGGAAGCTGGAAGGAACCACAGCTCCACTAATTTAGAGACTGTCCCCTCTGACCCAGGCCATCTACCACTCCAACATCCCAAAACAGTGTGTTTCCTTGGCCTGCTCATCCCAGAACAATTTCTGACAGAGGGGCATACACAGCAGCTTGCATAACTCCAGTGACAGGGACCTCACCACTTCACCAGCCAGCCTATGTCCTTGATCACCTTGGATTGTTAGGAGGCCCTTCTCTTGTTGGAGTGAAAGCTCTGTCATTTTCCCTAGTTCCTTTGCTGTCCACAGAGATTTATGAACGGTGGCCCTGGCTTCCTTCCCTTCCTCCAGGCTAAACATGCCTGGGGCTCCCAGTGGGCCTCTGAGACTGAATTTAAGCTTGTTTCCCTGCCTGCACAATCAAGACCCCTTCTTTGGGGCCAGGACCTCCTCTGAGAGCCTTATAAAATCAGTCAACCATCTCTGTGACAATGGCGCACGTCCACACAAAATGTTACATACTACACTAGAGGGTTCATAGGCCTTTCTTTCGTGCATGTCACAGTTTCTAGAAAGTGGCTGGCCTTTAGTACTAATTTATATATTCGACAAATGTTTACAGAGGGCCTACCATGGGCCAAGTGATGTTTCTGGTGCCCAGAATGGAAGGGTAAATTAAACAAATCCTAGCTCCAAGAATTTACAGTCTGGAGCAGGAGAGAGACACCAACGAATCAGCCGCCACATCATTAACTTTATATTGTGATAAATTCAAGGAAGATAATGAAAGAGAGTACAATGAGAAGTGGCAGGCTTTGGAGAGCTATTTTAAATTGGGAGGTCAGGGAGGGCCTCTGGAGGGGGTTGACATCAGAGTAGAGATCTGATGACAGGAAGACAGTGTGGACTGAAGAATCGGGGGTGGGGGTGGGGGGTCAGGCAGGACCAAGGATGGCTGTCAAGACTCTGAGGCAGAAGGAGACCAGGGAGGCTAACGCCTGGAATGGAGGAGGGGATATGAGACAGGGTTGAAGGGCACAGGGCCAGGCTGAGTGGGGAGTCTAGGTCTCATCTAAGTGCAGTGAGTGACACAGTCAGGTATACGTTTCAAAAGATCACTCAAAGTGGGGAGTGGAAGCAAAGTGTATTCCCCTTTCACGTTTCCTTATATCTGCATAAAGAAACCCTGGAAAAATATAGAAGAACTTAATAAGTGCGGTTACCTAGAAAAGCAAGACTTCTTAATATTTACATATTATATTGTTTTGACATTTGAATGACCTGTATATTTACCTGTATTACTTTCTCATGGCTGCCATAACAAATTATGACAAACTGGGTGAACTAAAACAATCGAAATGTATGATCTCATAGTTCTAGAAGCCAGAAATCTGCAAGCAAGGTTTTGGCAGGGCCAGGTTTGCTCTAAAGATCCTGGGGGACTTTGTTCCTTGCCTCTTCCATTTCCTGGTGGCTCTGAGCATTCTTTGGCTTGTAGCTACATCACTCTCTGCCCTGCACTGTCTCCTTCTCTTCTGTCTGACAAATCTCCTCTGTGTGTCTCTTGTAAGGGCATTTACCATTGAATCAGGGCCCACCTAAACGATCCAGGATAATCTCTTCATCTCAGGATCCTTAACTTGGTCACATCTGCAAAGATTCTTTTTCCAAATGAGGTCGCATTTACAGATTCCAGGAATTAGTGTGTGGACATGTCTTTTGATGCGCCACCATTCAACCCATCACCATAGCTGTCCAATAAGATCAAAGTAAACTTTAAAACTTGGTTCTAGCTCTGGGGTGACAGAGGGACTGCAGGGTGACAGATGGAAGAGAGGGAGGTGAAGGGAGGTGAAGGGAGGTGGGTATGTGTGGGAGCAAAGGTCCACTGGGCTCCAGAGGGATCGGATGCAGGATGGAGGGAACATCATAAGGCATCCCCCACCACTCCTGGGTCTGGCTTGAGCAAATGGGCAGGCTTTGGTGCCTTCACTGAGGCTGGGAAGATCAGAGGACAAGGGGGCTCCAGGGAGGTGGGAAGTGAGACTGGGAGGGAGAAGTAGTAGACATTTCAAGGTAGAAGTTACCATGAAGGAAGCTGGATATATATGTGGTGAGGCCTGCAAAAACATTTAAGGGAACGGAAGCCTCAGGCTCAGGCTACAGAAAACCCATCACCTCCCTCGTTTTGAAAGCTCAGCACCTACTGATGCAAGGCCAGGCTGCAGCCACGTCACAGAAGTGGCTGTGACTCAGCTTGGGAAATCTAGGTTTTTACCATACTACACTTATGCAACCAAGTCTTTGAATCTAAATGCAAGACTTCTCGTCTCCAGTGTAAATTTCCGTGTCTCTATGACGAATCTTTCCAAATAATTCTGCCTCCAAACCAAATAGGACAGTATGCATGGTATGATCCCAATTTCATAGGGGAGAAAATGACTCTCTTCAGGTATGTCTATAACAATAGCTAATCTTCCCTGAGGTATTATGCTGACCACTGCATGCTTTATTTCATTTAATTATCTTCATCACAGTTTGAAGTAGATGTTATCATTATTCCCATCTTATGAGATGGGAATATGAGATCTCATTATGAGATAATGAGGCTCAGAGAAATTAAGTAAATCTTGCTCACAGCCACCCAAGTAGTAACTGTTAGGACTGGGACTTGTACCCTAGCAGTCTTGGCTTTTGTGTCTATAATCATTACTGCCCCTCCTCATTCGTGCCCTCTGATGGATATACATGCACATTAAAAAGTTCAAGGAGGGCTTCCCTGGTGGCTCAGTGGTTGAGAGTCCGCCTGCCGATGCAGGGGACACGGGTTTGTGCCCTGGTCCAGGAAGATCCTACATGCCGCGGAGCGGCTGGGCCCGTGAGTCATGGCCACTGAGCCTGCGCGTCCAGAGCCTGTGCTCCGCAACGGGAGAGGCCACAACAGTGAGAGGCCCGCGTACGGCAAAAAAAAAAAAAAAAAAAAAGTTCAAGGAGAGACCTACAAAGCTGTTAATAGTGGCGGGTTCTGAGAGGGGTGTGGGAAGGAGTACACATTCTCTACTGCTGCCTTGCTTTTAATTATCTTCAAGGAACAATGCTTTTTTAATTTAAAAATATGTATTTATCAAAAGAAAAGTCTGGAAGAACATACAACAAAATGTTAACAGCACAGGACTTCCCTGGTGGCACAATGGTTAAGAATCCGCCTGCCAATGCAGGGGACACAGGTTCGATCCCTGGTCCGGGAAGATCCCACATGCTGCAGAGCAACTAAGCCCGTGTGTCACAACTACTGACACTGCATGCCACAACTACTGAAGCCTGCGTGCCTAGAGCCCGTGCTCCACAACAAGAGAAGCCACCGCAATGAGAAGCCCGCACACCGCAACGAAGAGTAGCCCTCACTCGCCACAACTAGAGAAAGCCCGTGCACAGCAACGAAGACCCAATGCAGCGAAAAATAAATAAATAAAAATGTCAACAGCAGTTACATCTGGGGAGCATGAGCAGGAGGAAAACTATCTTCTACACCATGTAGTTTGGTGTTGTTTGAACTTTATACAATGGGCATATACTGCTTTTGTAAGCAGAAAAAAGTAATTAAGTCTTTAAAAAAAGAAGGATAGAGAGAAGGAGAGTGACTCAGCAGCTCTTCTGGGATTCCCAGCAGCTCCTGACAGAGGTCCCGCCCACCTTCACGAGCCCCTTTTCTATTTCTCCCCCTCCATCCCCTTTGCACATCCTAACCAGAAAAACCTGTGCCTCAGCAGCATCTGTCCTGCCTCTCCCTCCTCCCAGCCTCTAAACTAGGCCACTGCTGATCCCGAATCCACAGGGCAACAATATCCCCTCATCCTCCATTAGCAGCTTTGTAGTTTATGAAATGCCTTCCCATGGCAGCTCACGTTTAATCCTCCCGAAGACACTGTGAAGTGGATATTCTCATGCCCATTGTACAGATGTGGAAGCTGAGGCTCAGCGAAGCTAAGCTCATTGCCCAGGGTCATATAGAGTCTGGGATTGTGCCTGGACCCAGATTCCCAGGCCAGGCCTCTCCAGTGCTGCATGAGTTCGAGCTCATGTCAGGAACTTGAGTTTCAGGACCTAAAATCAACCTGCTCAATCTTGTTTAGACCTATGACAGAGCAGCAGTTCTCCTGTTCCCTACCAAACCATCCCTGCAGCCTCCCTCGTATACTCAACCACAGCCAGGAACCTGAGACTCACCAGAGCCTTGCCCTGCACTGCCCAGGCCCTGGGGCTGAGCCTGAAGAGAGGGCAGAATGGAAGAGCCTTTGGGACCAGACAGAGGAGCGTGGGAAAAAGGGGCAGACAGCCAGCATGCTTACAAGGCAGGAGTAGACAAACCCAACCGTCTAGGACAGCAGGTCATGGGCTTGGGTGGAATCCTGGATATAACTTTGATCAAATCACTTAGTATCTCTGGGCCTCAGTTCTCTCATCTGGAATATGGCATTATAATAGCATCACCTTAGAAAGCAGTTCTGGGGCTTCCCTGGTGGTGCAGTGGTTGAGAGTCTGCCTGCCGATGCAGGGGACGCAGGTTCGTGCCCCAGTCCGGGAAGATCCCACATGCCGAAGAACGGCTGGGCCCGTGAGCCATGGCTGCTGGGCCTGCATGTCTGGAGCCTGTGCTCTGCAACGAGAGAGGCCACGACAGTGAGAGGTCTGCGGAACGCAAAAAAAAAAAAAAAAAAGAAAGCAGTTCTGAGAACAACATGAGGAATCCTTGCCATGCGTTCAGCGCAATGCCTGGACATAATACATGCTGACTGAATGCTTCTTATTGTTACGAAGTGAGTTGGTTTGCCCCAACCAGTTTAGTTTCTTTTGGTGAACACGTACTGAGAGCCCACGCTGTGCCAGGCCCTGGGCTAAGCACGAGGGACACAGAAATAAAGTAGATGCAGCTCCTGCTCACCCAGTTCGCAGGGGAAGCCAGCCCAAAGGGAAGCTGACCCTTCCTGTGGGCTTGCAGTGTGAAGGAGCAATGGCTGGGAGGGCGGTAGGCAGGATGGTGTGGGGCCTTGAACGCCGGACTAATCTGTCTGAGAACTTCTCTTGTCCGCCTGGGAACCACTGCAGGTCTCAGAGCCGGAGAGCAGCCGACCCAGTCATCTCACTTAGAAATGGAACCTTAGTCTCTACGGCTCCACAGGGCTTCTGAGCCATCACTGAGTCAGGCACGACGTGGGGGGTGGGGGGGATGACACAGGAGGGAGGGGCACAGAGGCCTATCCTTAGGGTGGGGACCATCTGGGTTCGAGTGACGGTGCCAGGTGCACTAGGTGAGGCCGCCCAGAGAGGTCAGGGAGGGGTTCAGTCCTGAAGAAAGTAGTAGGGGAGGAATCTATTTAGACTCCAGAAAAGGCATAGTTAATGGGTCTATTTGGGGGCTGATCCCTGGGTTGCTATCTCAGGTGGTTTGGTACCTCTCTTTCTGCTTTTCCGTGCTTTCCCTTTTCCTACACTGAGTCACTAGAAGAGACGGGTTTGAGCTATCTCTGTTTGGGAGCCCTGGGATGGGAACCAGGTGACTCTGTCTCCCCAGAGGGGCACACCCCCCGGGGCAGCTGGAGAGAGCAAACAGTCCTCCTGGGGGATCTCCAGGGTCTGGTGGGAGAGGCTTGGACATGTGGAGTGGCCTTCCGCAACTCAGGCCCCTCAGAATCTTCCTCTGTCCGGAAGGGTGATGATGCCATGGCGGAGGCAGTGGGAGCGGTGGAAGCACCTGGGGCTCCCCCACATATCCTCAGGCTCCCGGGCGTGCCTCTTGTCAGCGTCATCACCCGCTGGGTCGTGGGCCAGCTCAGCACAATCGTGCAGGACCAGCCTGGGTGCCTAGAAGAGGCAGGCCGGGTTCCGGCTCCTCGCAGCCCACCTCCCCAGTCTGGCCCAGTTGCCCCAATCTGGGGACAGACTACTTCTAGTGGGGCAGCCCAGTCAGCTGAGAAAGTCAGGCTTATGCTGAGCAGGAAAAGGGAGGACTCGCCCGCCTCCCCCCGCCCCCAATCCATGAAGCTGTGGCAGAGCAAGCCCTGGGCACTTGGCAGACTCAGTATGCGTCCTGCGTGCGCAACCAGCCCACTGGGTTCGCCTCTGTGGGCCTCAGTTTCCCCTTCCACTACTGAGCCAATGCATACATTCATTTTCTCTTCCTGGGGCATCTACCGAGGGTCAGACCTGCAATACGCATCGAAGAGACAATGAACCCAGAACCTAGGCCTTGGGGAGCATCCAGCCCGGCCCCGCTGCGCCCCGTGTGGCAGCAAAGCTGTGGGGAAGCTGCTCTGCTTGGGGTGCGGGTGCAGGGCCGGCTTCCCTCTGCGCCCGCCGGTGACAGATGCCCAGCAGAGGGCGGCAGAGAGCGGGATCCCAGCTCGAGGGAGCCGCGACCTTGGCAGTCAGCGAAGGTGGAGGCCTGGAGATTTTCAGCTTCACTGCTGTCAGGAATAAGTTTCACAAGGGCCTCCGGCACATCGGCATTCTCTCGGACCCGGGCCCCGGGGCGGCCGACACCTCATCACTCTCCTGTCCCCGGAGGAGCCGCCCCAGGGCAGCCTTGGGACTGGGGCGGGGCGGTGCAGGGTTGAGGTGGGAATACCAGCGGTGTAAGGAGGAGGGCACGAGGGAGAGAAAGGTGGGGGAGGGCCCCCATGCAGGGATCGTCGGTCGGGGCGGGGTCACAGGTCAGAGGGCGGGGGCTGGTCCTAGGAGCAGTGTGCACCCAGCACCTTCTTTGACTAGGTTTTCTAAAGATCGTGCTGGTGCTGTGAGGGGGTCGACTTAACCCGCACACACTCAGACACGCACTCCCGTTCTCCTTCTTCCATCGACATGCTCTCAACACACTCACACTAACACACATTTCCACCCAGATCACACCCGACTCATGCACACAAACATTCATATCACACCAACACACACATTTCATGATCACACTTACACTTTCACACAAACACACCTACACACATGAATGCACATCCACTGTCACCCAACTCGCACACTTACACTCTCACTCACACTTGTGTACACACATAACTCACATACGTATATACTCTCAAGCACACGCAAGCACACACCCATTTTTTTCACACAACTCTTACGAGCACTCACATACACAACTTGTGCATATATTCAGTCACACACACTCACACTTCTATCTATTCATACACTCACACACACTCACACATTGACACACCTGAGGGCCTCTCCCTAGAAAAGCTGGTAGAGCCAGGGGGCAGTCTACCAGCTCTGGTCCCTCAGACTGGGTTCCAGAGATAATCCCAGCTCTCAGGCATCTGTGACCCACTGCCTTCCGCCTACTTTCAAAAAGGATTTGAGGGACTTCTCTGGTGGCACAGTGGTTAAGAATCCGCCTGCCAATGCAGGGGACACGGGTTTGCTCCCTGGTCCGGGAAGATCCCACATTCCACAGAGCAACTAAGCCCGTGCACCACAACTACTGAGCCCGTGTGCCACAACTACTGAAGCCCACGCGCATAAAGCCCATGCTCCGCAACAAGAGAAGCCACCGCAATGAAGAGTAGCCTCTGCACGCCACAACTAGAGAAAGCTGCATGCAGCAACAAAGACCCAACGCAGCCAAAAAAAAAGATGTGAGATGATTTAGAAGGTTAAATCCCAAATAAAACAGGATAATGAAAAAGAAAAATAAGACAGCAGAAGCATTGAAAGCCTAACCCTTGTTTCTCCAGGTCTGGGGACTTCTAAATTTGTAAAGACCCAGTGGTCTGTGATTTCAGAGCCCCAGGCCCAGCCCTGCCTCTTTTGGATCATCCCTCTGCACTTGCCCTTGTGGGCCTCTCTCTGCCCCATGCTTGTCCCTCAGGGTCTGTGGAAGGGCTTACTCCCTGCCAGCATGTCCGACTCTGTCTGAAGTAGCTGAGTGAGCCCCCCTGCCACTCCCCAAAGGTGGCTGGGCTGAAGGACCTTTGAATGACTACCTGCCAAACAGTGTTTCCCATCAACCATCAGTCAGCCTCTTGAGCTAAACCTTGGCTTTGGCCTCTCTCTCCCGCAAGTTGAGTTCCCAGCCACTAAGGACCTCCCCAGTGCTGAAGCAGAGTTCCTCTCCTCATTGTTCTAGAGTCTCAATCCTCAGCCTGCACTCATCTGACCCTTAATCCCAACCTTTCCCACCACGATTTCTCAATAAAGCCCTCATTCAAACAAAACGCCCAGTGACACATCCTGGTATTCCAAAGCTGCTCAAGTGGACATTTCAGTCAGCTATCGCTGTGTAACAAACCAACTCAAAATTTAGTGGCTTAGAGACTTCCTTGGTGGTCCCGCGGTTAAGACTCCACCCTCCCAATGCAGGGGTCCAGGGTTCAATCCCTGGTCAAGGAGCTAGGTCCCACATGCCGCAACTAAGAGTTCACGTGCTGCAGTGAAACGATCCCACGTGCCGCAACTAAGACCTGGTGCAGCCAAATAAATAAATAATAAATATTTTAAAAACCGAAAACTTGGTGGCTTAAAATGGCAATTTGAGGGAATTCCCTGGCAGTCTAGTGGTTAGGACTCTACACTTCCACTGCAGGGGGCATGGGTTTGATCCCTGGTCAGGGAATTAAGATCCTGCATGCTGCATGGCCAAAAAACAAACAAACAAAACCACAATTTGTTATTTCTCATGGTCCTGTGGATTGGTTGGGCTCGTCTGGGTGGTTCTTCTGCTCTATATTTTGTTGGCTGGGACTACTCAGGCTGCTGCATCCAACTGGACTGCCTTCAGGCATGGCTGGATCCAGAGGCTCAAGTAACATCATCAAGAATATACCATATTTTCCATTCTCTGCTCTGCTTGGCTGGGTCTAAATGTCCAAGGTGGCTTCCCTCACATTTTTAGTGCCTCCACTGTGTTAACTAGAACATCTGGGGGCTGCCTAGGCCTCCTCTCTCACATGGTCTCTCCAGCAGGGGAGCGAGACTTCTTTATATGACAGCTCAGGGACTGAGAGCAAAAGCAAACCTGCCAGGCTTCTTAAGAGCTAAGCCTGGAACTAGCACAGCATCACTGAAACCACATTCTATTGGTCAAAGCAAGTCATAAAACAAATCAAAATTCATGGTTTAAGGGGAGAAAAAATGGAGTTCACTACCCAGTGGGAAGAGTGGCACATGTGCACAGGGATGAGAGGAATCACTGGCAACCAATTTTGCAGGCACTCTGCCACAGTGGGCCTGCGCATTAAGCTCCCAATACGCTTCCTGTGAAAGAAGCTGTGCAGCAGGTAAATGAAGCATCTTCGAGAACTTAACATTCTTAATCACAAAATTCTTATCTCCACTTCCAGGAAGAATTGCACTTTAGTTAGTGTGTGATTGGGGACTATTTCATTTGTAAGTGATGGGAACCGAGCTCAAACTGGCTTAAGCAAAAAAAAAAAAAAAGAGAGAGAGAGAGAGAGAGAGAACAGGGACTTCCCTGGTGGTCCAGTGGGTAAGACTCCGAGCTCCCGATGCAGGGGGCCTGGGTTTGATCCCTGGTCGGGGCACTAGATCCTGCACGCATGCTGCAACTAAGAGTCCGCACGCCACAACTAAGACCTGGCGCAACCAAAATAGATATATAAATAAATATATTTTTTTTAAGAAGAGAGAACATAT